TTCGTAACGTTAATGACCAATTGAGCACAAAAAATACTTGAGTAACTTAATGTGTAAATTCGTCAAACTTTGTTGTGCTACAGTGCCAAAAACTCTTTAATTAAACATGAGCTAAAGTTTGCTGAGACTGTGTCTCTTTCAAAAAAAAAAAAAAAAAAAATTGATTTCGGTGATGAAACCATATATCACCATTGATTTATCAGAAATTACAAATATAGCCAAAACCATTAATTATATTTAGAAAATAACCAAAAAAAAAACCCCAATTACAAAAATAGCCTGCAAAATTGCAGATGGATTAAGCCCATCTGCGATTTGACAAAGTCATCTGCGAACGTACAAGTCGCTAAGGCACATCCATGTTTTAGCGAGTTGTACGGTCGCAGATGGACTAGTCCATCTGTTATTTCACATTCCATCTGCGATTTCATCTTTTTCGCAGGTATAAAAACGTAATTTTGTTTTTGTTTCATTTTTCACATTTTTCGTTTGAGAACTTTCTCTCTGGAAGCACTATGGACGATTTGACAAAGCAAATATTCATTCATTCTATTAGAAAGATTTTAAACAAAATTTCCAAAGAAATAACAACAAAATAATTTTCTGCAACACTCTATACATAATGTGGTTGTTTCATAGTCCAAACATATCAATTTCGTAGTAAAAAAAAACAAAAACTAAAAACTAAAATAAAATTAAAAAAATTAAAAAAAAATAAAAAATAAAAAAACAAAATCGCATCTGCGATTTCAGTCACTTGTACCCCCTATTTATACCAGAAAAAATCACACACATATATATATATATATATATATATATATATATATATATATATATATATATATATATATATATATATATATATATATATGACAACCCGAATCCTTTTCTAGTTTCCGTTAATTAATTTCCGTTAATAAAATTTTATTTTATTGGGTTCCGTCAACTTCCTTCGGTATGGAAAATCATTTAATCATATATTTTGAGTTCTATATTCGAGTCGGAACCAAAACCATGGGAAATTTCGGGAATTCCTTCGAACAAGACCGAGTTCACGGCCTGACTTGAGTTCACGGCCGTACACTCGTTTACGGCCGGCGTCGGGTGGACCCCACCACCGACCAACGAAAACCCCTATAAATACGAGACCCTACCCCCTCATTTACACTCTTCTGCCGGACACTCTCTCTAGACTATCGACCGTACACCCCTAAAAACACCCTTATCCTTACGGAAAACATCGAGAATCACCATTGGGGGTCATTTCGGAGCATCTAGAACACGTTTCTCGTCGAAATCAGCATCTTTGTTCTTGAGTGTACGGTCGTACACCTTCAAGTTCATTGACCGCACACCAGTCTATGGCCGTACACCTTCAAAGGTCGTACACCTTCAAAGGTCGTACACATTCAAGGACCGTACAGCGTTCACGGCCGTACACCTTGTTCACGGCCGTAAACCCCATTCACGGCCGTACACACTTCCTAAGCAGCGATTTAGACTGAAAACTCACTTTACTCGATTCGATCAAGTTCCGGTAACATTCCTTAACCGAACTCAAGTGTTTTTCTACACTTTATCTAACGAAATCACTAATTTAAATACATAAATGTATTTAATTGTTATTAGGATTTCGTTAAGTGCCACACGCTACAACTCGAGGGTCTTCATTCCAATTCATTGATTCGACGTTTGCACATTACTAACAGTGAGTTCATACCCCTACGTTTTTTATGATTTTTAATGTTTTCAGGGGGAATACAAGCCAAACATAAATGATTTTAACAAGTTTAAAAGTTATGCAATTTATACAGTCAAACGATTTCCACGTTTTATAAAATATTTAGATATTTTATCCCTTTTGTACTATGTTGAGCATAAGGGACACTTTTACCTTGGAAACACAATTGCATTATTTTCAGAACAATTTACAAACCAAGTACATAACATTTCAAGCAAACTAAAATGGGTTTAGTTTGGGGAATTCAATACATAGCTCTTACCGATTCAGACTATATACATGGGTAAACATATAAACTATGAAAGATTTAGTTTATGATATACATCACTACTAGAGTACATCATTTAATAATTATTTAGATATAATTATTACCATATACCTTATACAACGAGATCAAATACAAGAGAACACTACAGAATTACACGTAAACTAGATTATACAGAATTGTGAGACTCTACTTCAAAACTGTACCCTTAGGTGTACTGAATTAAACCCTATCATAGTATAACCAGAGTCTCCTGGAGGGAGAGCGTGAGATTTGTGAATAGATATATTCGGGACTGACAATCCCACACCTGAACTGCTAGCTACAGTTAGGCAGGCATGCCTGAGGTGACAAATGTCATGTAACCGACACTTGAAGAACGTCGTAAAGGTCACTAGGTCATATCAAGCATGGTTATACGACTCACAATAAGTATAAACTAACATATGTTTACGAGATTTCATTCTTCGTTAGTTTATTTTAATTAATAAAACATACTATACATACTGGTAGTAGCCAGGGTTTTAAAAACAGAACATACTATACATACTGGTGGTAGCCAGGGTTTTCAAACAGAACATACTATACATACTGGTGGTAGCCAGAGTTTTCAAACAGAACATACTATACATATTGGTGGTGGTCAGGGGTTTTCAAACAGTACATTCTATACGATGATTTTCATACAAAATTCATTATGCAACCTATCTATTAGTAATTAAACATACAAACTGATATGTTTCATACGCTACAACAAGATACAGAAACAAACAATTTAGTTAATTCTATGATTTCTTAGTTTATGCATCAGGGTTATGTATGAAGAATATTCGATAGACTGTGGAATGTATGATTTCCGCCTCATTTCCTGTTCCTTGTTTGGTTGTGGACTTAAGACAGATTCACATAGTCAACTGTTTGTTCGATATTTGTTTATATTTGGCCAGTATAGATTAAGTGATCATAGAAAGAACTGGAACTATCACACTTTCACTAAAGAAAATATTGGATTTTCTTGGAAATATGCGAACATTTTTACAGAGTCATCAACAGGTTTTCATTACAAAAACATCGCTTATGAACTCACCAGCTTTATGCTGATACTCTTTCAAAACTGCTTGTATTCTCAGGAAATCAGTACACAGGTATCTCCTGGAGTTTTGAGAAGACGGAGCGTATAGAGTCACGTCCTTCTATTTTGATTATACTTTTGATGTATAAAAACAAGAATTAAACAGATGTAAACCTTTTTCATATATGTATTCAATGTAATGGTTGTGTTTACTATGATTGCTATGATACAATTGTTGTGATACTACACATGACGTCATCCACCCCCGAACGTTTACGTCGTTCCGGTTTGGGGGTGTGACAATATATATATATATATATATATATATATATATATATATATATATATACCATTTGCGAACGTACAAGTCACTAATGCACGGATGTGCTTTAGCGACTTGTACATTCGCAGATGGCTTGGTGACATCGCAGATGGGCTTAATCCATTTGCGATTTTGATGGCTATTTTGTAATTTGGGTTTTTTTTTTGCTGTTTTGTACAAAGTAATTAACGATTTTGGCTATATTCAATCTAATCTATTACTGAATGTGTATTATTTGATTTACCTAAAGATGACATTACAAGTACAACTATAGCCTTAGATAGTTAGATTGGTCTTTGAATATAATAAATTAGTCTATTTCAATTTCAAGGGAGTGATAGGTTGGAGAAAATATTGTGTCAACTTGTATTGATTTCAAATCTTGAAGCAACTTAAAACATATTGGTAATTACAATAAGCCTCATAGTGAATGGAATTGGAAGCTACCCATTTTGGCACTATTGGTTTTTTTAAATTAACAAAGTGTGATTGTTTTCCAGGTTTAAATTTTAATTATCAGTGGTGGCAGTGCGGTGGCGGTGGTGATGACGATGGTGGTGGTGGCTGTTGCTGGTGGTGGAAGGTCGTGATCGTAGCGGTGGTGCTGGTGGTGATGGTGGTTGTGAGTGGTGATCGTAGCGGTGGTGGTGGTGGAGGAGGAGATGGAGGTGGGTGGTGGTTGTAGCGATGGCAGCGGTGGTAGTGGTGGCGGCGGCGGCAGGTGATTGAATTTACAATATCACATCCAAAAAAAAATTCCTTTCAATGTTACCCTTTTAAAAACGCAGTATTGCAATTCCATTTGTTATCATTCTTATTAAATTATTCAATTTTTTATTTCAGTTTAATTTGAGTTTTGTTACGATGTCATTTTGGAGAAGGTATAATGTTAATCTGTATAGTGTAGACGGTTTAATTAGTATTTGATTTTGTTCTCTGTTAATAGGACATTTTTCTTTTATTTAATTTCAGTCTTATTAATTTAGCTATCTTCTACGTATTCATATATCACAGCACTCATTAAATTTATTCTTACCGATTTGGAAGGTAGTATACACGGATTCAGTCATTCAGTTTGTTACAAAAGTGGAAATGAGCTTAACGATTAAAATGAAGTGTTGTATGGAATTTGCTTTCGCTACCAGTATGGGCAAATTTCACACAAATGGGTTTGTCCCTCAATACGTGGATTGGTTTGTTGGATTCTAATCGTGTGAAGGTTTGATTTTTCATCCAGAAGACACAAATTTGCATAAAGTTAATGATCTAATGGGGAAACCCTCCATTCTTTGATTCTTACATTTCGATTGATTGAAACAGTAATAATCAACCATCTGTTCATGAAATTCACCATCACTTTGTATGAAGATTGCAAATACACTTTGGAAACACGAAAATGAAACAGTCCCTTAAGCTAAAAACAACCGACAAATTTGATTTCAATGATGAAACCCTAGACCATCATTGCTTTATTACTGAATATCAATCTTTCCGGTTACAATTAACACAACTATGAAAACATTAAATCACATATATATATAAAAAGATCTGAAATCAACCGAATGAACCCTAACCTGTTTAGAAGATGAAATTGGGGGACTTAGAAATCAGAGCAACGACCATTACGTTCCCAATCGCCGTAACGAGTAGGCTCGGGACCTCGGGGTCCACCGATCTCGCCGGTCTCTTTGTTCATATCAGGTTCGTCACCGTCGTCTTCATCGTTCCCCTCTTCGTGATCTTGAAGTTTCTGGATCTGATCTTGTTCGTTAACAGCTTCGTGCTGATTGTTGGGCAAGTCTTGTTGGCTTTGAAGCTTTTCCGGAGAACTGGAGAAGAACCGATTTGCAGGGTTAGATAGTTCCGATCGGACAGTGGAGAAAATCGCAGCGGGACGGGAGAGGTCCGGCGGTGGCGTGGAGAGTAGACGGCGCAAATTAGACATTGCCATTGTTTTTTGTAAGGAACAGTGAATTGAAGAAAAAGAACATATTATAATTGGTTTTGTCTTTAAAGAGGTGACGTGGTTTAAATGTTTGTGACATGGTTTTTGCTATGCCACGTCGTCGGCTTACAAATATGAACGACAGAACGTGTCCTTGAGAACATAATGTTGCACATCTGCTTTTGTTGGTATCCTCCATTTATTTAGGGCATTGATTTTTGATTTAGCCACTGAATAATTGGTGGAAGGACTAATATACCCTTAACCATTTAACTGGAAAATACCATACCTAAACCGCAGCTTTCGGAAACAAAAACAAAACACACCACCGTTCTCGGAAACCAAACGACGCTTGAAACCTATTACTCCAATAGTGTTTGATTTACAATTACAAATTCCATCCTCCTTGAGTTTGGATAATACCTTTTGAAGCATCTGTAACTTTTTTGACTTCTCAGCATTTGAAAAAGGTTGGTATGAATAAGTTTGCATGTGATGAGGAACTTCCGATGTTATTCAAACTTGATTTTTTGTTTTTTTTTTTTTTTTTTTTGGAAACAGCAGCAAAAGTTATATTAAACAAAATAATGTGTGGCCCCTTTTTTTTCCTTGTGCTGATCCAGAGGGGGGAAAACTTTGGATTTCTGCAGAGCTAGCCAAATGTAAGAGTTCACATATGTAGAATGTGCTATTAGATTTATCAATTTTCACATTTACCACAAGAATACAAGGATCAAAGCCTCCCTGTATATCAGCCACCACATTGTGGAACTTGAATTTAAAAAAAAAAGGATATAGTTTTCAAATTTTTTTAAATTTTAATAAAAAAGTATAGATCGTGAGTTTTTCTTTCCACAAAAAAGGCATATTGTTTAGATTTCTCTCTTCAAAATCATAAAAGACTATAAATGGGTTTAGGGGCATAATTTTCAATAAATTAATTATTCAGGGGAGCTATCAAAATACTCTTTAGAAAAATCGGCACCCATTTATTTAGTTATAACTGATTTTGTTTTGCATATCAAAAGTTGATAGAAATGTATGGCCTAAGTTTCAATGAAAACAAAGATGTTTTTTCAGCCCGTTAAGTCAATTTGGCATCTCCCATTTCAGTCCAATGGAAGGCTACCGACGTTTTATCTTGGGAAAATGACTTAAAAAGGTAATAATGTTTCAAAAACGTACAAAAAATACCATTATTCTTTTTTTAGTGAAAAAAATATCATTAAAATGAAATTTTTGTACAAAAAATACCAACAAAATACAAATAACCCTTTAGAATGACCTGAGGTAACCGGTTACCTCAGGTCAACTATTGAACGTGCTTTAATAACCTTCATCCATCAAATTAGGATTCCATCTTCATCCCCCTCCTTCGGCTCCTATGGCATCTTCAAGTTCATCAAATTATTCTAAGTCAAATTCGAACATTTCCAAGAGCAGGAGCACAATTGATTATGCTCACCCTTGTCACTGTGAGAAGCCTTCCCAAGTTTGGACCTCAACTACGGTTGATAATCCGGGTAGAAAGTTCAGAGTATGTCGTAACTCACTAGTAAGTGGTTCTAGCATCTATCATCTACTTCTCCTTCATACTTAATTTATTATGTGAATTTTATTATGTATATTGAAGGATAAGAAGAAGAAGAAATGTGATTTCTGAGAATGGGTCGATCAAGATGAAGAACTAATAAAAGAAGACAACCCTGAAGTCAAGATATCAATATTGGAAAATAATTTTTGGACACATAAGGTGAAGGCAGATAAAGAATCAATGAGTTTCAGAAAAGACTTGGATAAATTAACTAGGAAATATTGGAATCTCAAATGTTGTATGTTGTTGTTCTTTGTTATGTTTTTTATGTATGTTATATTGAAATGAAATGAAAATTGTAATGTAATGACTTTGGTAATGTATTTTGAAAGTTTGGTTAATTAAAAGTCTTGTATTGGAATTGAATCAATGTTTTATGGAAATAAATTTAGTTTTGATATAGGAATGGGACCAATGATTCGTAAATATAATTGAGTGCTCATACTGGAATGGAATCAGTGATTCCTGGAATGGAATGGAATTATTGATTACTGCTTAATATTGATTCTTCACACATGAATGGAATTAATGATTCCTGATTAATAGCCATTGTGTATATTGAAATGGAATTAATGATTCCTGGTTAATATTGATTCTTCACACAGGAATGGAATCAGTGATTCCTGGAATGGAATGGAATTATTGATTATTGCTTTATATTGATTCTTCACACATGAATGGAATTAATGATTCCTGATTAATAGTCATTGTGTATATTGAAATGGAATTATTGATTCCTGGTTAGTATATTGGCAAAAAGTTGGACCACATATTGGAATGGCCTTGTCCCTGTCCTTGTCCATAAATATAAACCACATACATTACCAAACCACATACATTATCAAAGTGGGACCACATACATTAAATATAAACAAGTTATCAAAAGACACATTACACCTAACCACATGTGGCTTCATCAGTTTTTGACTTAAATGTAAACAAGTTATCAAAAGATGTGCCCAACAAAAGATTCCCTACCAAAAGATGTCCTCCACTAAAGCTAACAAAAGATCACGAAGACAAAAGCTAACAAAAGATGCCCTTCACAAAAGTTGTCCCCATTACTGCTCCTATAGTGTGAGAGGATTTTCAAGACTTCCCCCTGTATCATCCTTGGTCACAACTTTCCTCCTCAACCTAAGTTTTGTGTTCCTCTGAGAAGGACCACACTTTCTCCTTTTTCAAAGTTAGAGCAACCACATGCTGATATATATATATATATATATATATATATATATATATATATATATATATATATATATATATATATATATATATATGTATTATGTATAAATACCTCTGTATTTTCTTCATGTCCTCAATCTTCCTTCTAATTGAGGGACAAATCTCCAAGTTCCACTTCAGTCCCTTCCTTTTCTGAGTAAACATCCTTTCCATGACATACACTCTAATATCTTCCAACATTGCTATTATTGGTTTTTTTCTAGCTTCCACAATGGCTGCATTAAATGACTCTGATATACCATTTTCAATGGCATCACTAGCACTATCTTCCCTAAAAAATGCCCTAGACCATGTGTTTGGTTTTTTTTTTCATTAGGTGTTCATAGGCATTTATGTCAATCAATTTGATCTCCTTCATGATATCTTCAAATTTTGTGGTTGTTGTGGCCTTGGCAGCACACCAGAAAAGTAGCCTGTATTCAGCTCCTGAGAATTTTTTCTTGAAGTTGGCATAGACATGCCTAGCACATTGTCTATGCTCACATTCTGACACTCTTTCCTTAACTGCTTCAATCAGTCCCTATTAAGTAACATTTGAATGTCATTATAAATTAAAAATAAAATAGAAATACTATTATTAAAAAACAGTTGACTACCTTGTGTTGGTCAGAGATGATGGTTAGTCCTCTACCTTGTCCCATATCAATGTCTTCAAGTAATAGATCCAAAAACCATTTCCAATTTGCCTTATTTTCAACTGGTACAACAACCCATGCTAGAGGATACATTTGGTTATTAGCATCCCTACCAACAGCTGAAAGTACCTCACCTCTACAAAGTCCCTTTAAAAAACATCCATCTACACCAAGCACTCTTCTACACCCTTCAATCCAGCCATCCTTCACAGCCTTCAAGCAAATATACATCTTAGAAAAATGGACTGTAGAATCAGGCATGATATCCACATCCAATTTCACTGTGGAACCTGGATTAGTACTCAATAGCTCCAAACCATAACTCCTAAGCTTTTCATAGTGTGCCACCAAGCTCCCTTCTATCTCATCCATTGCAAATTTTTTGGCATTTCTACACTGACCAAAACTAACTTTTAGATTAAAATCTCTAAGCACTGCTGCTGCCATTTTTCTGTAACTTATTCTTGGATTCTCTATTATGGTTTCTATTAACTGTTTTCCAATCCAACTATATGTGACCATTTAACCTAAATTGAAGGCCCTACTACAATTATGTTCAGAGATTAAGGACTTAATCTGAAATGATCTTTCTTTACTCATCCATGTTGCCCACAACCTAAAAGGGCATTTAAACTTCTCTTCACCTTTGCAACATCTAACTAATAATCTAGTTGAATCATTTTTTCATACCACAGTTTATACCCATTAGCAACAGCATAATTGCTTAACAAATGCTTAAGTTCATAACGATCATAGAATTTCATACCTAAGACTGGAAACATTGTATCCCATTTTTGGTTAGGATCATGAACTGGATACTTATGAAGATCTTTCTTGACATCTTTCTTATCATCTTTTTCATCATCCACAACTCTTGGAGGCTTGAAAAATTCTCTTCTAATGAAAGGATCATCAGATGGTTGTAGTTGTATCACTTCATCATCAGGCTCATGCTCCACGAAATCATCATCTGAAAGCTCAGAGTCTACATCATCATCATCATCCGTATTACCATCCATCGATCCATCTTCAGCTATCTCTTCTTCAATCCACTCCATAACTAAATACTAACTGTGATCAATGTACAAATTGATCATACCCCCATTCTCATATCCAGCATCAAGGAAACGAACATAATCATTTTCATCTTCCAATACTCTTAACCCATCTCTCAGTGAACGTTGTGGAAGACAAAAGTACACATTGATTCTTCCATCCTTGACCAAGTTCTTCACATACGAGATGAACTCCATGAAACTCATGCTTCTGAAATCGACATTGCTAACAACCATTTTTACTGGATTGAAATACACAATCGGTTTGGGAACAAAAGAACATGTATGATTTACTTTGATTGTGAAGTTGGAATCCATTGTGATTCTGTGGAAAGGATGAACGAACGAAGGAGAAGGAAATAACCCTTGATTCTGGGGGAAATAACGAATGGTAAGGGCACAATTATTCCCATAAATCTTTTAACCGGCTAACCTATAATACCCGATAAAATGGTATTTTTTTCACTAAAAAAAGAATAATGGTGTTTTTTGTACGTTTTTAAACATTATTACCTTTTGAAGTCATTTTCCCTTTTATCTTTAAAGCATAACAGGCTCTTCCAATTTACGAAAAAAAAAAATACTAATCTAGCTTTCACATAACATGAAACGAAACAGACTCATCTGTACATTTATTTATTTTTTTCAAAGTTCAAAACAAGCAATCCACCAAAACCAAAAGGAAAAAGGAAAAAGGCTATAAACAGCAGCTACCAAGACACAGGAGAGGTGGAGGACAATAAGATACAAAACTAAGCTTCCACACTATATAATTATCATTATAAATTTATAATCACCACCCCCGGCCCACCTTCCTCCCTGTGTCTATGTTCTAAACGCCTGTTGCTCCTCCCTCTTCTTCCCCTCCTCTATCTGCAACCTCCCATCTTCAATCTCCTCTTCCTTCATCACAAACTTATCCACCTGAGCCGCCGCTTGCCGCCCTTCCGATATTGCCCACACCACCAACGACTGCCCTCTCCTACAATCACCGGCTGCAAACACACCTTCCACATTTGTAGCAAATCTCCCGTATTCCGCCTTCACATTCGACCTCCCGTCTTTCTCCAACCCCAATTTATCCGCTATTGTCTGTCAACATTTTATATATATTAAAATACAATAAGAAAAACAACGTATTAATTAATGTTTGTATGTAAATAGTAAATAGTAAATAGTAAATATACTAACCGGTTCCGGACCAAGAAATCCCATGGCTAACAAAACCAAATCAGCCTCGAGAATCTCTTCAGAACCTTCCACCTCCTTAAACTGAAACCTTCCACTTTCATCTTTCCCCCATTGAACTCTAACCAACTCCAACCCTTTCACGGCTCCATTATCATCACTAATGAACCGTTTAGTCAACACCTCATATGATCGTGGGTCTTTCCCGAATTTCGTAGCAGCTTCCTGGTGTCCATAATCCACACGGAACACACGAGGCCACTGTGGCCATGGGTTGCCTGGGGCCCGGGTTCGAGGTGGTTCAGGAAGAAGCTCGAGGTTTACAATGCTGGTGCAACCATGTCGGATTGATGTCCCGATGCAATCCGTACCAGTGTCACCTCCACCAATCACAATCACCTTCTTTCCCTTTGCAGAAATATAGTTTCCATCTTCAAGATTGCTATCCAATAAGCTTTTAGTATTCGCATGTAGAAACTCCATTGCAAAATGCACACCCGAGAGCTCACGTCCAGGAACAGGGAGGTCCCTTGGCTTTGTGGCCCCTACTGCTAAAATAACCGCATCATTCTCTTCACGAAGGCGTTCGATTGAGTACACCGGATCGGTTCCTACATTTGCGTTCACCACAAAATTCACACCTTCTTTAGCCATGAGGTCAACCCGTCTTTGAACAACATCAATCTTGTCTGTCTTCATGTTAGGAACACCGTACATCATCAGTCCACCGATCCGATCAGCCCGCTCCAACACAGTCACTGTATGACCCATTCTGTTTAGTTGATCAGCTGCAGCCAATCCAGAGGGCCCACTTCCAACAATTGCAACTTTTTTCCTGTAAATAAATTATAAAAGTCAGATGTGAAACTGAAACGTATAAACCTACCTACCTACATATTACCAATATTATTTACACATACCCTGTTCTCTTGAGGGGGGGTCTGGGCACCATCCATCCTTCTTCAAAGGCTTTGTCTATGATTGAACACTCAATGCTTTTGATGGAGACCGGGTTTTCGATTATGCCCAGCACACATGAACCTTCACATGGAGCGGGGCAAACCCGGCCCGTGAACTCCGGGAAGTTATTTGTTTCAAGAAGTCGATCCAATGCCTCACGCCATCTGTTCTGATAAACCAACTCGTTGAACTCAGGGATTTTGTTCCCGAGAGGGCAACCCGTGTTTTCCTGTCATTCATTATTTCACAAAAAGGTAAATTTACTAAACTACCCTCCCTAAAGCTAAAGCTTGTACAACAAAACAAGACTAATAATTAAGTTTGTTACCTGATGGCAAAAAGGGGTACCACAATCCATGCACCTTGCAGATTGAGTTGTCAATAGCGGGCCCGGTTTCGACTCTTCCATAACTTCATTCCAATCATTCATCCGTACAGACGGGTCCCGGTAAGACACACCCTCGCGCTCATACGCAACAAACCCCCGATGTTTGACCGCATCAGCAACTCGCGATGGTCGGGTCGCCTGTTCGGCTTTTTCATCCTCTTTCACCTGAAAATCCAAAACCAAACAAAATTACTATTTTACCCCTTGAACAAAATCTATAGCATTATAAATAAATAAATAAAGACCTGATTAACAGTCTCAATCAACTGATTAACTGTCTCAGTCAATGACTTGGCTGCCAGCTTCTTAAGTTCCTCAAAAGCATCTTTCTCCTTCAACACATCTTCCTCACGAATGTCAGCTTCTTCAGCAGCCAAATCAGCAGCTTTTTTAGCGACTTCTGTTTCTTTCATGGTGGCTAAAATCCGCTTATAATCCCTCGGGAAAACCTTGATAAACTTGGGCAAAAGATGGTCAAAGTCAGCAAGTACTTCCTTTGCCAGCTGGCTGTTTGTGTGTCTCTGATGTTGCTGAATCATCATTTTCAAAGTCATAATATCCTCCTCATCTTCAACCTTGTCAAGATCAACCAGCTCGGTATTACACCTTGACCGAAACTTCAAGTCAACATCAAGAACATACGCGATTCCACCGCTCATCCCCGCAGCAAAATTCCTCCCGGTTTTTCCCAATATGACAACTGTCCCACCTGTCATGTACTCACATCCATGATCACCAACACCTTCAACTACCGTTTTTGCCCCTGAGTTCCTCACACAGAATCTTTCAGCTGCCATTCCATTAAAATAAGCTTCGCCACTTGTCGCCCCGTATAAAGCCACATTCCCAATCACAATGTTCTCTTTAGGATCAAACCCACTTCCTTTCGGGGGATAAACCACAATCTTCCCACCAGACAACCCTTTTCCAACATAATCATTACTATCACCTTCAAGCTCAAGCATAATCCCCGGGCATAAAAAGGCTCCGATACTCTGCCCCGCACTTCCATGGAGCTTAATATGGATCGTATCAGCTGGAAGACCCGGTAAATGATACCTTTTAGTCACTTCATGACTAAGCATTGTCCCAACAGCACGATTCACATTACAGATCGGTGACTCGATGTAAACAGGAAGACCTTTTTCTAAAGCGGGTTTCGCGAGCGATATCAGCCGTTGATCGAGTGCCATGTCAAGACCATGATCTTGTTTTTGGACACATGTTTGTGCAGCATCTGATCTGATGTCAGCAGCGGGTCGAAGTAGAAGTGAGAGGTCAATGTTCTTGAGCTTCTCGTTGCTTTTGGTCAACTCTTTATCGACTTCAAGCATGTCTGCACGCCCGACCATTTCATTGACTGTTCTAAATCCCATTTCTGACATGAGTTCACGCATTTCCTCTGCTAACATGAAGAAGAAGTTGATGACATGTTCGGGTTCTCCTGCGAACTTTTCACGGAGGACGGGATCCTGTGTGGCGATGCCTACGGGACATGTGTTTTTGTGACACTTTCGCATCATGATACAGCCGAGTGTGATGAGGGGAGCTGTACTGAATCCAAATTCTTCTGCTCCTAAAAGAGCAGCAATGGCTACATCTCTTCCGGTTTTCAACTGGCCATCTGTTTGAAGAACGGTTCGACCACGGAGGTCGTTTGCAACTAGGGTTTGATGGGTCTCGGCTAGACCGAGTTCCCATGGGAGTCCAGCACTTTTGATCCCGGTCCACCTGGACGCACCGGTCCCACCATCGTGACCTGAAATCAAGACATGGTCCGCATGGCCTTTCACTACTCCACTTGCGATTACTCCGACACCAGCTTCGGATACTAGTTTCACACTCACTCGCGCAGAAGGATTCGCGTTCTTTAAATCGTGAATTAGTTGAGCGAGATCTTCGATTGAGTAGATGTCGTGGTGAGGTGGAGGGCTGATTAGACCAACGCCAGCTGTCGAGTTTCTAGTGGTGGCGATGTCTCCAATGACTTTGTGTCCTGGAAGCTCACCACCTTCACCTGGTTTTGCTCCCTGTGATATGGTGATTTTAAAATAAGTGATGCAGTCATTTGGTATGTGATAATCGATTTTTGTTTGTTTTATTTAATCTCACCAAATGCCAAATGGGGTAATGTAATCACTTAAAGATGCAAAGTCACCATGAGGTGCTTTGCAGATTCGGCATCATCTGTTCATTAACATAAATTCATGAACAAGAGGGAGGAACTTATCGTTCCAACTAACAGGGAGAGGAGACAGACAGACTCTGGGTTTACAAAATGATGAAGAAAGTTATTATACCTGTGCCATCTTTATCTGTATTTCATCTGCATTTGTAAGGTAATAACTGTTGACCCCAAATCTTCCACTAGCAACTTGCTTGATTGCACTCCTTTTTGGGTTCATTGAACCATCTGGAAGTGGTTCCAAACGAGATGGATTCTCACCTCCCTCACCTAAAGAATTAATTTTGACAACAAATTTATAAGCTTTTTAAAGATATAACATAAGGGTGTTGGAAGATCTTTCAACAACAAATTCATAAGCTTTTTAAAGATATAACATAAGGGTGTTGGAAGATCTTTCAATATACATACCAGTGTTAGATTTGCCTCCAATTTTGTTCATGGCGATTGCAAGGGTGCTGTGTGCTTCAAGTGAGATAGAACCATAACTCATGGCTCCAGTACAGAATCTTTTCACAATTTCACTTGCAGGTTCAACTTCTTCTAAAGGAACCTTGACTTTTCCCTCTTTAAACTTCAAAAGTCCACGAAGATTGCAGGTTTTGTTTAACTCATGTATACGTTTTGAATACTCTTTATAGGCTTCAACACTGTTGCCTCTAGCAGCTTCTTGTAACTTGGCAATAGCAAGAGGGTCATTCAAATGGACTTCACCACCTTTTCTCCAATGATAATCACCAGGGTTAGGTAAAGCAACAGCTTCAGCACTGTTGGGAGGGAACTGGCGTGATGGAAACCCTAAATCATGTAACTGAAGAGCATCACCAGCAAGTGCTTCAAATGTTGCTCCTTCAACTCTACTTGGAGTTCCAGCAAAGCATCTTTCCATTACTTCTGTTGATAACCCAACTGCCTCAAAGATTTGTGCACCTTTATATGAAGCCAAAGTTGATATACCCATTTTTGCAAGAACCTTCATCATTCCATAGTGGCTTGCTTTGTAGTACTTTTTGACTAATTCCTCTTTTGAATGGAAGTCACCGTTTGACTTTGGTGGAATCTTGCCATCAACTTGCATCCTCCAAATGGCTTCAACTGCTAAATAGGGACAGATGGCATCAACACCAAATCCAACTAAAGTACAAAAATGGTGTACTTCACGTGGCTCAGCTGATTCCACCATTAAAGCAACTCTGGTTCTCTCAAGCTTCTTGACTAAATGATGGTGGACAGCCCCAACTGCCAAGAGTGAGCTTACTGCTACTCGTTTTGATGAAAAGGCTGCATTTTTTAAGAACCCCACAAGTTAAATTAGCTAGACATGTTCAAATGTTCAATCAACATGTATGATTTTAAAAAAATAGCTTAAAATGGCTTACCTCTGTCAGAAAGGACCAATGTGGTATAACCCTCTTTGATGGCATTGTGTGCCTGTGAACAGATTCTATCTAGGGTTTCCTCCAAACCCTTTTTGCCAAGTTCTTTAGGGTAGGTTATATCAAGAACTTTGCTTCTCCACCCTCTGAAATTCATCTTTTTAATGGACTCCATCTCTTCAATAGACAAAAGTGGTCCTTTTAGAGAAAGGCGATGGCATTGCTCTTCTGTTGTCTCAGTAAGATCACCTTCTGGTCCCACCATGCATTCCATGGAAGTTACAATTTTCTCCCTGATAGGATCGATAGGTGGATTTGTTACTTGTGCAAACATTTGCTTGAAATACTCAAATGTTAGCTTCTCTCTGTCTGACATCACAGCCAATGGAGCATCATTTCCCATTGAACCAAGCGCCTCAACACCATCTTTTGCCATTGGAAGTAAAAGCATCTCCAAAGCTTCAATAGTATAACTGCATAATTACTCTCGAATCAGATTTCTCAATTCACCACTAACAAAGAATCAAGAAGCATTAAAGTTTAAAACTACATACCCGAAAGCCTTCAATGGGGCCAAAAGGCCACGAATACCCATGTTCTCCATGTTATCATCATTTGGAGTTGCCTAAAATTTAAAAGTTTAGGATGCTGATATATTTTTTTCAAAAGAAAGACTGAAAAGATCAAGAAAAGATTCTTACTTGTGAAACTCCAGCAATAGGGGGACATGCACGGGCGGATTTGTTAACAGATTCAACAATGTGCTTCAATTCTATCTTTTGTTGTTCAAGCCACTTTCCATATGGTCTTTGTAATGAGTATTGTTTTTTCAAGGCCTCATCATCTACAACTGTATGTTTCTCAAAGTCCACAAGAAGCATCATTCCAGGGTTAAGTCTGCCTTTTCTTGAAACATCCTCAGGTGGAATATCAACAACTCCAACTTCACTTGCCATTATAACTCTTCCACTATGAGTAACATAAAATCGACCTGGACGTAGACCATTTCTGTCCAATGTAGCTCCAAGGTATCTCCCATCAGTAACTGCATATAACTTTTTATGTAAGCACAAAATTAAATGTCTCAAAGTAACAGATAAGAGTGAAATGAAGCTCAAAACTCATACATGAAACAAGTGCAGGTCCATCCCATGGCTCCATTAAAGCTGAGAAGTATTCATATAATGCCTTTCTTTTAGGATCCATATTCTTGTCATTCTGCCAGGCTTCTGGAATCATCATCATAACAGCTTCTGGAAGACTTCTACCAGCTCTCACCAAAAGCTCAAGAACACCATCAAAAGCACCTGAATCTGATGAGCTGGCATCTACAATGGGAAGAAGTTTCTTCATCTCATTCTTTGAAAGGCCAAGCTCTTTGCATTTCAGAAGACCTTCACGTGCCTTCATCCTGAATAAAGAAAGATTAAAAGCAAACAACAATTAGGCGAAAACTGAAAACTAATGAGCAATAAAAGATTGACAAATGATCAAACACATGGAGGGCGTAAGCATACCAGTTAACATTCCCTCTAAGTGTGTTGATTTCTCCATTGTGGCCAAGAACACGCATAGGCTGAGCTCGATCCCAGCTAGGAAAAGTGTTGGTTGAAAACCGAGAATGAATCTAGACAAAAGAATGCAAAACCCGATATTTTCAATGATTGAGATCCATGATATTGTTAAAATAAGGATTAGGCTCTGTATCGAAACATCATGTAATCCCTATACAACCTCATGAAGTTTCATGATCAAGAACTGAGCACAAGAATGCACCAAGTTTGTGTAAACATGATGAACTTCTTAATGAGGTTATTACCAACTCACCACTAATGAATCGAGCATCCAATCCAAAATCATAAGTTAACCACGCATCTCTCTCCCGTTAACCGGTTGATCCAATGCTGTTGTTAAGTATGAAGTCAGTGGACAAAAAATAAGTATATGGATAAATAATTACCAGGGCCATGTAGCTCGTAAACCTTTCATTCCCAAGATCTGCATAATAATACTCCTTCAACTGGTTCGGTTTTAACTGACCTTTGTACACAATAGTTCTGCATATAAATCATTTCAATTTTAGAAACCCATATGATAAATAGTTAAATAATTGAATACAATCAATAATTGATATCAAGATTCAAGAAAACCAAACCTTGATGATAAAGAACATATATAGAAGTCCCTGATCCCACCATGTTGAAGGTTCAATGCAGCACGGATAGCTACCATTGAAACCCTTCTTAGTATGTACATCTGCAAATACCAATTATTAATCAATAATTAAGAATCAAGATAAGCATCATTCATATATGTTGATTTAAACATTATGCTATTTAAGATCATATATACCTGCTGCTCAAAATCAGCTTTTGACCTAGACGTGGGTGTGAGGAACACTTGTTCAATGACGGGTTCTGTTTGAATAGCAGACTTCCCCAATCCAGAATTATCTGTGGGAACAGTTCGCCAGCCAAGAACTGTGTGCCCGAGTGATTCAGCAACCTGCAATTGTAATTGTGAAGTTGTAAACAAATTTTGCAATATCAAGAAGCAGCATACGTGGTTAAGATGAAATCAAGCTCGGTTATGATACCTTTGTGAACACAATCTTGCTTTGCTCCCGTCTGGTATCGGAAGTAGGCAAGAAGAACATCCCCACTGCATATTTCCCAGGTGGTGGTAGCTCAAACCCTTCATCTTTAGCAACCTGATGATGCAAATTTATCCATAAAATAAGACATAATTACTCATCTTGCGAAATAAAAAAGTGAACTAGCTTTAATATGCAACTTATGTACTGACTACGATATGTGTAGAAAGAGCTTTAAGTATATATACCTCCTTGTAGAAGTCATGGGGAAGACCGACGAGAATTCCGGCACCGTCGCCGGTGTTTGTTTCACATCCACAGGCACCTCTATGTGACATACGAACCAACATCTCAATCGCATCAGTCACCTAAATCAGGTCACAAAAGTAATTCAGTAGTCAAATTGATTGAAAAACAAACATAAAACTACAAATTTGAAAACGCAAGCGAAAGTGATACATACCGTATTGCGGTTACTTTTGCCGGATAATTCAGCAACAAAACCGACCCCACATGCATCCTTATCAAAGGATGGATCATAAAGACCTAAGGGCTTCTCCGGCACTAGCGACAAAGCAGACCGAACCACCAACTTAAGCTTCGGGTCACGACCCGGACCATCCGATTTCCATTGATGGAGCGTCTCGGAAACCGACCCCCGTTGCAGCCTAGTCCCATACAACTTCTTCCCTAACAGACTAGACTGTTTAACAACCGAGCCACGGCTCGCCCATGTCCCGCTCCGGCCAACCCCAATCCGGGCTAACCCGTTTAACGGACGGGAAGCGGAAGCGAAAGGTTTCGTTACGTCCGCGTCGGGTCGGGCCTGGACAGCATGATTCAAAGCCACCGACATTATCAGATACCAACAATTTTTATCAAAAACTCCCCCTGCTTCAGATCTTTCCAATAAACAGATTTTTGAAGCGTTTATTATCAGATCTGGATAGCTATCAACTTAGTTTAAAGAAGGAATGGTTCAAATCAAGCGCCCACTTTCCTCCAATTGACAGGCCGATTTAGTTGGGGGGGTTTTGTATATGGACTCGATACGCTGGGTATATGGATTCAAGATGAATCTTTAAAAGATAAAACGAACAAAACTGAACAACCGACGTAGCAGCCGACGGCTGCTGTTATGCACACTCCCGCAGACACGCACACAGACACACGCACACGAGAGAGAGAGAGAGAGAGAGAGAGAGGGGGTTCTGGTGGGTGGGGTTTTTCTCGGCCTCGACGAGGTGTGTAGTAGGTTTATTTTATAGAGGGAGGCAGGGGGTACCAGCTCATCTTCTCAACAAGGTGCCATTGTTGGGCGTGGGGCCCGCTTACCAATTTGCCACTTTTAGGGTAAACTTTCTACAGTGCCTGGAATGATAGAATCCAAAACATTTCTACAAATCAATTCTTTAATTTGGTCGTTTTTCATGTGTTACCATACTTTTGATAAAAGTCTTACGTAATAATCTAATTTGTGGTGGTAATTTAGGATTCTACAAAGTTATAGTTTAAAAAAAAAAACATATACGGTTAAATAAATATCCATATCGGTGTGATTTTAATTTATTTATATTTAAAAAATTAGCAATCTTGAAATTCCAAATCATTTTTAATAAATAAAGGTTTTTTTAATTATTTATCGCACTCTTATTTAATTTATCAAATGTCATTTTGTGGTTATTTTGAATTAATTTTTTTCTATATGTCATTTTATAAGTTTTTTTATTTTATTAAATTTCACATAATATTTTACTATAATAATTACAATAAATGTAGTAATAAATGGATATTAATTTCACTAATAAACTTACCTTTTAATTTCAAAATTTCCAAAATTAAAACTCATTAATTTCTTTTCTTTATTTAATTTGTTTAAATTTAAAAGATAAAAAACATTTCCATTATAATAAATTATTATTTTTTTATTTTCTTATAAATTTTAAATTCTCAAATATTTTGATTTTTATATTTAACCCTTCTTTTTTAAATTAACTCATGTAATACATGAGTCTCACAACTAGTTTTTGTATAATATCCAGACAAAAATAGTCACTGCATTTTGCATAATTAGTTGGTTGATGACAACTATCAACACGTCTATGTATTTTACGATGTAAATCTAATTTTTGTATAGTTAATTATTTACCATATAAAATGACATTAATAACATTAATAACATTTTTAGTTTATTTTATCTTTTTCTTTAAGTAATTTTAATTTTAAAAGAAAAGAAAATACCCTCCCCAACTCAACCTTCAATAAAACCCTATTAGATTACAATGTTCACCCCCTCCCTACTTTTATCTCTCTCCAACTCCAACGATCTTCTATCTAGAACAACCATCGTCAGTCGTTGTCGGTCATCTTTCTAGACACCGTTATAGCCTCATCTTATTGATTATCATCTCCCTTCGTGGTCGACGTTCATCTTCTGACCTATATGTCCAAGAGTCATTATACAATAATATTGATAGATAATATATGATCCTAAAGAGTCACACTAACAACAACTTTATGCAAATATATTATTTATAAGAATTTGATTCTTGATAAATAAATATAGATCTTGTAATTTTTTGGAAATTATTTATTTTATGGAAATATTAATTTTCAATGTTAGGTATCAAAATATATCATAATATATCATAAGGTATGATTTATTATGTCATATACATCTTTTTGGACCAAAATGGGGTTTTGTCTTTTATGGATTTATATGTTTTATAAGTTATAAAAATTAGAAAAGTTTTATAGAAAAACTAGCTTCTTCTTTTTATAAAATATTCAAGGAAACTGCAAAGAGAAAAAGAAGACATGCTTGCATTTATTTAATCATAAAGTCATGTTCTTACACTTTTAGTCTTTTGTTGCTAGATGCATGGGGTATTAAAGCATCAAGACTCAATGGGTAAGGACTTGGATTAAGATGATTAAAAGGCTTGCATGTATCTCTTCTTTTACTAGCTAAAACCACAAAATTTGGTGTTTCCCATCTCCATATTTTCTCTATTTTTTGTTTCTTAACGTGTTAAGAACATAAAGATGGAGATGATACTTGAATACTTTCTTTTAAGGTAAACTAGTTTCTTTGTCTTAAGAGCTTAAGAGGTTCTTTTATTACAAGAAGAAGACTAGCATCTTATCAAGTTGATTTATTGTTGGTGGGTATCTCTAGAGAACTTCTACCTTGAAGTTTCATACCATACTTCATCAACTTCCAATCTCCCATGATAATCAAAGTCTTCAAAAGTTGTAACACTTTTCTTTCTATGGTTGCTTTTATCTTTCTAAGTCTTGCAAAAGATCCTTAGTGGGTTAAAATGGTTTTAGTATATTCAACAAATTTAAATATTTCGTTGCCATTTTTACCGTTTGTGAAACCAGATTTTTATATAAAAACCCAACATCTTCATCACCATACTTATCGCTTCATCGATTGTAACACCCGCAGATTCGGACTAGTCAATTAAAATATAATAAGCGTTAAAAATGACTTTTTGATAGAATATTATTTATGATAAATAATCTGAAACAAAGTTATAGTATATATGACAAAGATTTCGTACATATAAGGAACGCTGAAATCCGACTTCGTATGAAGAAGTTATGTTTTTTCGAAGTTTCGTGATTAAACCGACGTGACTCTGCGTATCAAATAAAGTGACTTTTTTGATAAATTATTTTTAGCCTTAGTGATCTAAACGAAAGTCGTAGTAGTCGTTAAACCGAGAGCGTACATATAGAGAACGTCCAAATCTGACTTCGTCAGAGGAAGTTATGATTTTTCAAGGTTTCGGCGCAACAGTGTGCGCTCAGAAATATTATTTTGGAACGGTAGATTATTATTTTCAACGAAAGTTATTAAACTTCATATCAAACCTAAAATTGTCTTACGAGACTAAAGAAAGACCGCCCGACTATCAAACAAGTAGAAAAATATTTTTATAAGCGATGGTGAACTAGAAATTTTGGAATTAATAATATATGTTAAATGTAGTTATTACTCCTTTTTTATATTCGTGTATAGCATAGGGACCCATTATAAGTTGACATCGTCTTGCTGCTGTCTTCTTCCACCGCATTCTCGCTTCCCTCCCTCTCTCTCTATTGATGACATTGTTGCCTTTCCTTGCAACAACCTTGTGGTTCCTGTTGTTGTTCCTTCAGCCTCCCTTCAACTACCTTCTCATATAAAGTATTAGGTTATTGGTACGTTGTTATTCTATCTCCCTTTCGTTTCGACTTTAGTAGAATTTCCTTCGTTTGCTAGTTGGAAATAATACTTCCTTCCTCATCAAATATAACCTGATTTCTAGTGCCAACAACCAGTTACGAAACACTAATCAGATTATTCTTTAAGCCTTCAACATATGCAACTCGATTCACCGTGAATTTCTCATTCGTTGCTTTTCTATATCCTTTTACTTTACACTTGTTGTTGTTGCCAAACTTTACAACTCCAACATTGTCCAACTTTCAAAAATCACGTAAATTTTCCTTCCTTCCAGTCATGTGACGCGAGCATCTACTATCAATATACCAGCCTTCGTCATATTGCTCGTCACAAATAACCTGCAATCAATTAGAAGAATTTAGGTCCCCAAGACCTTTTGGGTCCTTGGACATTAACTTGAAACACATCATGCAACGAAGAACCTATAATCCAACTACGAACTTTCGACTTGAAATTGTCAATTAAGTCATTTTCATTGGCTTTAGGCATCGAAATGTAATCATTCAATGAGAAAGGGTCAACATTGACTTTCATTCTTTCATCCTTTTTCTGAAATCCCTCAACTTTCTTCTTTGGAATTTCTTTCCACTTTTGCACTGCAGGAGTAGATTCTTGAGACGGAGTACTTCCACTCATCGAATCATTCAAATACATCTCGTAAGCAGATTGAATTTGCTCTTGAGAATATGAAACATCCCAAAAACACGGTCCAAAAATTTCATTTTAATTCATTAATAAAACCATAAGTATCCATCATCATACATAAAAGTCATGAATCGTGTATCTTAAAAATTATTATAACAGTTGTCAATATATCAAAATCATATATCAAAACATCAGAGTGAATCCTCCCAGGCTAAAACCCTATGGTGTGTGCCATGCAGTCATACCGAACTCTTCCCCTTACTAGCGGAAGTACCTGAAACCAAAACTGAAAACTGTAAGCACGAATCTTTGTGAGTCTCCACAAACTACCACATACCATACACATAATCACATATATCATACATTAGGCCCCGCCCTACTACATCGGGAGTTGCCCGACATCGGCTAGTCCGGCATCGGACCCCGCCCGGCATCAGACCGCATCTGGCATCGGCCCCGCACGGCATCGAGCACAGCTCGGCATACATATGAGCATAAACTACTAACACACATAACATAAGCATAACCACTTAACTATAGACATATAAACATTCCTCGGGCCCCGCTCGGCATCGGACCGTAGTCCGGAAACATACAAAATACATTCACATGCAAGAATCACAAAGACATCAAGCATACTAACATCCTTCCGGTATCGTCCCGGCATCGGATCAAAATCCGGAAAACATATAAAGCTACATCGGGCCCCGCCTGGCCTCGGATCTTAATCTGGAACATACTAACATACATAAACGGGCCGGCCTTGGTGCCTTAGACTCGTTCCTACTGGAGGAAGACTCACCTCTCAAGCTGGTTGCTGAAATCTCGTGAGACAAATCTCTAATAGCTGCTCCGATGACTCCCCGACTATCATTATCACAATAATCACTTAGTCAAAAACTGATAATCCTTCTAAGGGTAAAATGACTATTTTACCCATGGTCAAAGTCATCATTCTGGTCAAAGTCAACATTCTTGTTGACTCAACTCGCCGAGTGGACCTATCAACTCGTCGAGTTCTATAACTCAAAAATCTTGGAAATCGCAATCCAACTCGCCGAGTCATCCCCCCGACTCGTCGAGTTCTATCTGGCACAAAATCGGGACAACACGATTCAACTCGTCGAGTCATTCTATGGACTCGCCGAGTTCATCTGTCTGTTTGAGCCATCACAATTAAGCTCTTATCCTTCAATCCAAACCCCATACTTCATCTACATACTGGAAACAACACCTTTAAGGGTAAAGTTTCCGAGAGTTAGGGTTTAAGCTAAACCCTTTAAGAAGGATTATTAGTGGGTAAAGTTTCCAACTTTACCCACTAATAATCCTTCTTAAAGGGTTTAGCTCAAACCCTAACTCTCCAGATC